GCTGTGTGGCCCCTGGGCTCATTCCTACTGTCTCCTGGGGTGACCTAAGCTCTCCTTTCCCCACCAGCAGGCTGCCCTTTGGGGGCCCTCAACCTCCCACCACACGGCCACATCTCTTCTATCATCCTCACTCTTCCTTCCTCTCACTGCCTGGCCAAGTACTTACCAACTGGTAACCTTGGCAATGACGTGACGTCTCTGTGCCTCAGTTTCCACACCTATACTATATTCCACTGGGATGAAGACTGAATGAGCTGATCTGTAGAAGTGCCTGGAGCACACCCAGCACAGTCCTACAGGGCACAGGTCCCTTCAATGTGCCTTGAGCTGGTAGGGCTCTGGGTAGGGCCTCACCAGCCGGAGCCACCTGCCCAATCCTGGGAGAGGAGTCCCAGAAACCACCACTGGGAGCCCAAACCTGGGGACTGTATGGGTGTTTCCATGTCCTTGGAGGTGTAAAAACAGAAGCTGGAGTCTGAACTGGGCGAGTTGGACAAATTTCTCATGAGTTTTATGACTTGGGTATAAATTTTATGATTTTAGACTATAAATACACTTTCAAGAGTCATGAATGATGCTTTCCCAGGTGGCAAACAGCTTGAAGGTGCTTCTAGCTCTGCCAGGTTTATTAGCAAGGATACTAATTATCTCTTAGAGATAGGTTCATTTCATGATTATGATTAGTTTGCTGCTTTTTTTTTTTTTTTAATTCTGGGAAAAGAACATATGCCTATTTCTTCCCTGGCCAACAGAAGCCCTGGGCTTTCCCAGGGCAGAAAAGCCTTAACCCACTAACACCACCCCGATTCGCACGGTCCTCCCAGCAGACACACACAGGAAAAATCACATCTCAAGCCAGTGTGGGTTTCAATGAATTTGGTTCAGAGGCTTTCGCACCCCTGGCTGTGAATGAAGCAGAGCGGCTGCCTGCAGCGCTAGACACCGTAGATGCCTCAGGCTCCGCGGAGCACTTCACGGTTGCACTTGCCAGGGGACATTTCACGTTCTGTCTTCAAGGCAGGAAGGCTGGCTTGAACGCAGCTAAAGCCAAGGGAAGCTATAACAGCCTTTCACATGCTGAAGGCAAATCTGAAGAAAGAGCTGTACAAATTCTCTGTGCTTTTGGATGCATGGATGGAAAGGAGGGCGGGTGGGAAGGGAGCGGAGGTGAACTCAGCCTTGACTGCCAAAACCATAACGGTGAGAGACATTCAACGGCTTTGTGAACTTTCAACGTGTTCTCTCTGGGGGCTTGGCTTGCCCCGACATGCTCAGACAGTTGGGCCAGAGAAAACTTCCATTTGGATGTCCCATTCTCCTGAGAGGAGAGAAAATGACCAGTGACATCCTGTGCTGCTGTTACCTCCAGCACATCTTTAAGATGTTAGTACAACTAGCTATCAGGTGCCCACAGAGAAATGTAATGTTCTACACGACTGTTACAGAGAGCTTCTGGGGCACCAAGATAGAAAAGCTGCTATTGCCCCAACCTAAGATGGGCACCAGGTAGGACGTAGGAGGTGAAGGGCTCCTCCCTGCCCACCTGCTACCAATACTGAGGAGTAGGGATGGACACCTGCCCCAGTGTTCTGTGGTGCCTCTCGCCAGACAGTGACTGGCCCTGGCTTCCGGAGCCCCTGCAGGTACCATGATGGGTTTCTTATACACAAAGAGTTTATCACTTTGCTGCCAGGGAACAGAAATGAATTTTAGTTGCATCAATGAAATGTACACGCTGGAACTGCACTGTCCGGTACACTAGCCCCATATGGTTCAATTTGTGAAAATGAAATAAATTTCAAGTGCTCAGAGCCCACAGATGGCTGGTAGCTACCATACTGGATAGCACATTAAACATTCCACCATCAGAGAAAGTTCTATTGGACAGTATTAGTCTGGCTGTATTCTTAGTGAGCTGATGGCCTTCCTTATGTCATTCATCCATTATAACAAATGGCTATGGCCCAGAACATTATGCAATGCCTGCTGCCACTATAACAAGTTGAGATCGGACACAGATATTTAGATAGTAACAAGAGACTGCATCCAAACTAAGGTCTATTAGTGCTGTGTCATCTTCTGAGGCTTTGAATGATTCAAAGTAGGTACATGCAGAATTAAGAATAGCATCTCTATTCTAAGGACGCCTGCTGGCATTTCAAGGATTGCAAATAATATGGAATCCAAAATCCATCCCTGACTCTAATTCTTGAGAGAAAACTGTGGTGCAGTTGATGCCCCCTGCCAGGTTTTGCTGAGATCGACAACTTTGGTGTGACACTTTGCTTGCTCAGGAACCATGTTGACTGGCAGCCTTCGGGATCTACACATGCTGGCAGGTTGGCCCACTCTTCAAATTGCCTCCCAGTTTTGACGCACCCTGGTGATTTAACTTGCCTTCATGTTAGCCTGAAGCACTTTGTTTGCTTGACCCCTTTTCCCACTGTGGGCAGACTTCCTTCCCACCTTGAAAGCTGACGTTAATAGTGCTATTCCATGCAGCAACCCCCCAGAGATAACCCACTCCCGGGGAGGGGCATGGGTGCCATGATACCCAGGCACTGTGTGTGTCCCAATGGAGCTTACAGAAACCAGGCAGCATGCCATTTGTTTTTCTGTCAATTCCAAGGTGCTGCTGCTACTTCAAGCTGTAATAGCGTCTACAAACAATTCACACTCTGGCATGGCATGATCCCAGGGGGTAATTAACAATCCCAGGGAGTCATCTTTTTTAAAAAAAAAAAAAAAATTCTTAAAAAGCAACAGAAACAGAGGCCATCTTCATCAAATAGAATCCACCACCCCACCACCCCACCACCCCACCCTCCCCTGGCATTTCGGAAGATACATGGCTGACTCCTGCTCAGGTCCTTGACTTTATGGGCACTGCTCAAGCTGTATTAATCAGAAATCAAATGCAGCATTTTTATTGACTGAATGGAGCAGGCTCCAAAGATGGGTTAAGGTTATAAAAGTTAGAAGCAGAATTCTTAAGGGCCACCCAAGGGCGGTGGATTCCATACCATTTGCCATTCCAAGATGGAAGACTGCATTCACCAGCACGCCTCCTTTCCGGAAGTGGTCACTCATGTGCTCCAACCAGTTGGCATCCAAACTGCTCACCGTCTGGCCATTCTTGGAGACCCGGAGAGGAATAGTAACAGGATAGTATTGCCGGCACTTCTGATGGCCCTTCGGTTTATTGAAAAGGGCAAAGATCTCCATTTCTGTTGAAATTTGTAAAAAAAAAAAAAAAAAAAAAAAAAAAAAAAAAAAAAAAGTGGGGAAAGAAGAGGTCAACCAGCGATAAAAATTTGACTCATTGGATTAATGAAATCTCTCAGGAATCTAAAGAAATGATATCAACGGTGAAATCTCTGAGCCTACATGCCAAGTAATATAACTTGATTCCAAGTAGTAACTTGTGGCTGCCTTCAAGTGACATACATGGGCCTCAAAGGCTAAGCTTCAAATGGGGGGACTTAAGATTTTGAATCTGGAATATAATGAATTATTATCTGGGATTGGTTTATATATTTAGGCATTTAGGAGTTGAGCATAAATTTCTAGAAATACAAAGATGTGTTGGAAGTAAAAATAGACATACCCGAGTGAGATCTGAACTTAAAAAAAAAAAAAAGCCAATGTACAAAATCACAGAAAAACAAACACATTGCTCGAATTCCAGGAACCTTGTTCACCCATGAACTCACTATTTATAAACTGCACTGGTGTTTCCTGGGGCCTAGCCCATAATACTTAATCAAGTACATCAAAAAATACATCATTGATATGTAAAAATAAATATGTTCCCGTAAATGAGAGTTTCTGCCTACAGTGGCAGGTCAGCTCCATCAGCCACGCAGGCAGGCTCTGGGAGTGAGGCTCTGAGCTTTCCATTCTTTCATTTACAGCTCAGTCCTTCAGAAATCAATAGTCACCACCACCCAGTTGATCTGTGCCTGCTGTACGTGCTGCCAGGTATGAGTTAGCAGTAGCTGCCTCGAGGGGCAAAAACCTGCAATTTCAACCTAACTCTGAAGGCCTATTTTTGCAATACTCATTTAGACAAGCAATCAGAGTTGACCCAGCTTAGAAAGCTTTTCTTGCACAAGCTGCTCAGGAATATGCTTTGTTTTTCCAAAAATATCTTTTAAAATCTTAAGAAAATCCCCACCCTTCTATCAAAGAGAAAATTTAAAGGTCATAAACAATGGTGGTTGACATCAGCAAAAAGGACAAAGGACACTCACGTTCCCCATATGGGATAACTAGATCTACATTCTGGGATGCTGTTTCCCAATTTGGAGTATTTCATAATTTTTGTGGTATCCAAATACTAGTTGGATTATTATTTTTAAAATTGATTTACTTTCTGTTAACTGCATTTTAAAAGGAAAATCTGACCATAAAGGCAAGCCTTTACCCTTGCCATAAACAGGGGAATAACAAGGCTTATTAACACAGAATATAGTAACCCATGTAACATCTGGAAGTTTCTCACACAGGTACTGTATTCTGGGACAAAGAAGTTCTTCTCACAGGCCCATCTGAGCAAGCCTCAGTGGAGTTCTCTGGGCCATGAGACTTATCATCAACAGTTAAACAGGAGAGTCATCTCAAGCTATCCATCCAAGAGAGCTAATACCTATCGTCAGAAGTGGCCACCTGGATTTTAAACACCAGCTCTAGCCTGGTCATCCCCACCCCATATTACCTTACCTTTTCTTAGTCTACCTGACCAACTCAAGACGCCACCTCCAACCAGGAAATACTTTCACACAAGAAATAAAGTCTTGGTGTATGGAGCCAGCACCCACTACCTATTTCATGACTTTGAAATATAAACTAAGAATGAAATGACAGAGGAAGGTTTGTAATGGAGGGAGTCAAGCCATAGGTTGGGGAGCAGGGGTGGGGGTCAGGGTGAGGACGTGAACTGAGCAATCAGGGGTTTTCTAGTCCCACATGCCAGTCATTCAATTAAAAATGGCAGCCACAAAGGGCAAGAGGATGAGCCATGCTTCAGTGAATCGCTGAATTCATTTGGATTTCTTCAAAAGCAAATCCTGCAAGCTTTCCATGTGCAAGCTGTTTGTTTGAAAAGTGATACTAAGAGAGAAGGATGGAGGTGGGATGGGAAATGAAGAGACAACGAAGCTAATGAAGTATGCGTTAATGAGCAGATTATCAATGGGGCTCAATCCCACAGGGGACCTGAGACACTGTATAGAACACAACAAAGGGACCCACCAAGGGCAACACAGCTGGAGAATTCACCCTCATTGACTGGCACTAACTCCCCAGAGTATCTGCCCTGCATGTTCACATTCCCAAGAAACACTGGCAAGCTCAGAGGCTAAGGAAACTGTAAACTTGGCCAGAACTAACTGCAGGTGACTCCACAGTGGGCCAGAGCACCAGTCCCTATGGTATATTAGAGTCAACTACAGATGCAATAGAATTAAAAAGAAATCACAGCTGCTTCATGAGAGAATTGATTGAGGAGTTTGGAAGTGGCCGAAGTTCAGAAGGATCTCGTTTCACACGACCAGACAAAACCCTCCATTTTCCCCGATGCATAATGAAACAGAAAAAGGGGAAATGTCAAAAGGAGAAGCGAGGATGTTGGAATGGGTGGAAGAAGAGAGACTTCTGACAAGGTAGTCGGTGCTAACAGCATCCCAGCTTTCCCGTCTCGAATCTCCCCAGGGGCCGGACTGAAGCCAGAGACAGAAATAAATTTTTCAGGAAGGAAAAGGAAGTGCTGTTGGAATGAACAGTCTCCAAAGCATTAGGGGTAATGAAATATTGGGAGAAAACCTGACTTTGAAAGCGTAACCCTTTAGTAGACGCCTCTGTCCCACCGCCTCCGTGACCACAGTCTTCCCTCTACTCGCATGGAAACCAGCCAAGAGAAACCATCTGAACACGATGCCCTTTGATGTTTTCATAGTCCGATTCTTCAACACACATCCTCACACAAGCAGGCACCAAGGATTCCAAAAAAGAAGCCCCGAATTTGTTTCAATTTTCTCAGCTGCTCTGTGACTCCGCCATGACCTCAGCAGGAAGATTTTTCCAGACGTGGGACAGAAAGTCCCAAAAGAATAGGGAAAGCATCGCTTCGGAGAATGTTTTGAGAATGGCTGAAGCACTGCACTGAGCACCTACCATCTTCTTATCCTCCTTCCCCACTCCGCACACAGAGGCCCTGCCTTGTCACAGGTAAGATTCCGCATGTACAGCAAAGAGCCTGCGCTGTGACAGGAGCTGTGAGGTGCTTGCTGGATGGACCTGAGCCAGACAAGTGGGAAAATCTAGGAAAGGATGAGAGCTGGGGGCTGGCTGAGCGGCCCCCTCCTCTCAGGCCTCCTAGGCTACAGGGAAGTGGGGAGCAAAGAGGCAGGTGACCAGCTCTGAGGCCTGGGCCTGGGCATAGGAACTTGGGCTCCAAATAGAAGCCTGCCTACTTGTCTTCAGGTTCAATCCCAGTGAGCTGTGACTTGAGGGTGAGCCACAGGAGCTGGCTGGGTGTGGTGATTAAGGAGCCCTCCAGTCTGGATAAAAAAAAATACAGAGTTTGAACTGAAGCGTGGGCTCCAAAAGAGAAGCTGCTGATGAGTTAGCTGTGCTGGAAGGAAGAAGTGGAAGTCAAACAGCTGGGTGGGGTCTGCAGTGTGACGAGGCCAGGTGCAGGGGAACTGAGATGAAAGGTCTCCTCTGGGAAGGCAGGCTGTGGGTGCTGTGGAGGGAAGGGAAGAAGAAGGGCCTGAAGCTCTCTATCCAGATTCCAAAATCTGGAGAAGGCTGCTCAGGCTGTGTCATAGGCTCAGGACTAATAACAGGGCACCTCTGGGCCAGCAGGAGGCAAAGTGCACACACAACGGCCAACAGGTATTGAAGCGTGAAGACCTCAGCAGTCCAGACACCTGCACCATGTGACATGGCCCCATGTGACTCTCCAACCTCCACAGGCCCTGAAGCGTTAAGTAGATGTCTCAGAATCACAGCCAGTGTGGGAGAGCCAGGTCTTGCAGATCCCAAGCCCTGGGCTCCTTCCCAGGTCCAACAAGAGGCCAACTTCATCAGGACACAGAAAGTGGGCACTAGTAGCCACAGGTAGGGACTTAGTAGCTGTGTTGGAATGAACAGTCTCCAAAGCATTAGGGGTAATGAGTCAAAGGCCTGAAAGAGTGGCAGAGTCACAGGGTCAGACTATCCTCTATCCTGAGGATATGAGGAGGGGAGGATATTGGCCTGGGGAGGGAAAGAGCCTGCACATCAGAAAAGGCCCCCAAGTTTCAGGGATCCACACTGAGCTGGCTGCCAGGAAGGTCTACTGAACAAAATCCCTCACCAGAACTGTAATTGAGATCAGCGACTACAGCTTCTGGCTGGGAAGTCTCAGCAGATAGGAAAGCCAATGCTTGGAATACTTAGAATAGGGATTTTGGTGACAGAACAATCAGAATTTGAGAGAACCTGTCTGGCCTCTTTGTTTCTCTTGTAGCAACAGAGACACTTGAGGCTCAGATGATCATTGCACAGCCTGGACTTCAAACCAATAAGAAATTCCCCTGGAACCAGGAAATAAAATTCAATGAGCAGGAAGAGAAATGCAGGAGGGCCTAACCACTGGACTGTGCCGCAGGGGTGGGGGCTGGGAGGGAGCCTGCCCCTGCTTCCAGATGGAGACTCGGGGAAAGTCCTGTCTGAGCCGTCACTGCCTGGAGTCTTCTCCCCTAGGCCTCCTACATAGGAAATAAATTAAGCGAGGAGGAGGAGGAGGAGGGGGGAGGAGGGAGACTCCCTCTGGATGTTTTTTAATTGTCTTGCTGTGATTGCCTATTTAAGCCCACCTGGCAGAACGAGGAGTAAAAACACTTCACCCTCCTTAGGGGGCCCCAGGAGAAAGGCAAGCCAAGAGATGAGAGTGGCAGGGAGGGGGCTGTGTGTGTGCTGGGGGTGAAGGCTCACCTTGTTCTCAAGGAAGGAAACAAGATGCCCCAGGAAAAAGATAAGGAGGGTAGGCCAGGGGCCAGTGAGGGTCATGATCCTCAGGGACAGGGTCCTGGATATCCAGCTCTGGGGCTGGCCTGGCTGTGGTAAGAGACTTAGCTGCCTGGAAGGGACTTTCTGTATCCATGGAGTGAGCATCCTAGTCTTCTGTTATGTGATGAGGAATAACAGAGTTGACATCCAGGGAGGAGTCAGAACAGCGCTCTCAGGGTGACCACCCTCATGACGGTCTGCCCATCCCCCACAGGCCTCTGTGCCCACTAGTCACCCCAGTGTGTTATGACTGATGGAAAATCCAGAGGCTCATTTATTCCACCAGAAGATAAAATAAATAAATAAATAAAATTCTAAAAAATAATAGCGGGAGCCTAAATTACAGAGACCTGTAGCCTGGCCAGCTATTTGCATGGGGAGAGGCAGCTGTGCACCTGGAGAGATGGGGACAGGGAAGGCTTAGAGACCCCCCATAGCTGAAGTTCCCCTTCACCGTTGGGCTGATGCCTCCATTAACACCCATTAACCACCATCTCCCAGCATGATCTGGGTGACAGCAGAGAACAGGGTCTTGAGGGGGGAGGCAGGTCCAGATGCTTCAGGAGGAGGGGTTTCTGTGCATTCAGCTACGGGGAGTCTGGGGGAGGGAGGTGAGCAGCCACAGGGGAGCAGGAGGGCACTGGGCATCTGGGGAGGGTCCCAGGACAAGTCTTCCCAGTTAGTAATTCTCTGGCATTAAACACAGAGGCAGAAAGTCTAGGAGGAGTCTCTGAGGAAGGTGGATTGGGGAAGGCTAGGGTGTCAGCACACTCCCAAGGAAGCCTTCATATTAACCACTTTCTTTCTCAAACCAAGGTTCCATGAGAAGTGGAGGTCAAGAGCCAGGAGCATGGTGCCCGATCCCAGGGGCAACAGTTCACATGGGTGAGTCCACAGCACTGAGAGGCTTTGAAGGTACATCTCACCCAACCTTTCCATAGGGAGTTGTTGTTCTTTCCCATGAGAAGGCAATTGCTGTGTTCAAGGCTACTGCCCAGCCACAAGGTGGCTGGAATGGACAGAAAGGCTGGACTCTCGACCATGATGCCACCTGCCTCGCCAACCCTCTCATAGTGCAGGGTTCCCCCAGAAGCTCATCCATCTTCTTGGGATCAGCACACACACCTTGCCCACCTCAATAGAAGATAGCTTTGGACACTAATTAGGAGGCATATGCCAGGTCTAAACACACTCTCAGCTGCTCTGAATGGGGAGTGGGGTGAGGGGGAAGGGAAGAAGTCTATCAATCCAGTGTGTGTGTGGTGGGGGAGAAACCAGGCAGAGGAAGAGCTCTACTCCAGTACATGTTTAAGAAGGATCCAGACCTTGATTAAATAATAGCCCTCTATATCCCAGAATCAAGGCAGCTCCAATCTCTCCCTCCAAGCAACTCTGCAAATAAGCCCCCAGAAATGAGCATCTTATAATTTTCCTTTCAAGACATACTAATGTAACAATGAAAATTATTTCACCTTGTTCTCCACTCTCCAAGCATAAAAATGTTCCTGATCATATGTAAGAGGCCGATTTCAAGAACAAGTAACTAAATAGTAACAATATTAAACAGGGATATGATCCAGAAAGTCCTAAACAAACAGCCCTCGGGAAGGCTTGGTGGTCTCTGGCTGTCAGTCTCAATACTCGTTCATCTTCCAAAGGCCCGAAGAGGCCCCACCACTGATGTTAAGTACCTTGCTGTCAGGAAGTGACTGGATGCTAGATTTCCTGGAGAAAGTAGAGAAGAGGGAACTCTGGGGAGAGAAATACAGGGAAACTTCACTCCCTGTCAACCAAGGGCTTCAGGAAATCTTGTCAGGAAAGACCAGAGAGATGTAATGGGGTGGTGGTGACCCAGCCCCACTATGTTCACATACTAGGTCTGCCAGTTTCCCACCCTGGCAACTCATTTCCTCTGAAAACCCCAGATTACTCCACTGGCAACCAGGCAATGGTAATAGAGCTCACCCACATATGTCACAAGGCTGCCTGGAGAATTAAGAGGTCAGTCTATTAAAAGCATATTGGCACAGGGCCTAGTGCTTAGGAAGTATTAATACATGTTGGCTATTGTTGCTGTGCTGTTATGTGAAATCCTTAAGCCAATGTGCATGCTCTCCTGGCCCTTACAATGTGACTAGGAGGATTCACAGACTGCTGGCCTTTCCTCAATGGCGTATTCTACCACAGTGATACGTCAACCGTAGGAAGCCCCTGAAAGCTGGCTGTTTACATTGTCATGAGTTGAATCACACACACACACACACACACACACACACACCGCACAAATTGCCCTCAACTGGTGTTTGTGATTTCTTGCTATAGGCAAACATTCAAGCAGTGGAGTGGAGGGTCTCAGTGGTTCCCAGCATACCAACACTCCCTATGCAAGGGCAGGGGATATAATACCTCACCATCTAGAATCCACTTAGAACCCACTTGGAACAACTGCAAGTCAATTTCACATGGCCCTGCTCACCCCCAAAGTCACAACTTCAGCAAGTAACTAGTCGTGCGGCCCAAATAACTAAGTTTCTAGTGTTTGATGGACTGCTGTGTCTATACTCTATCCCCATCTCTTCTCCCTAAAACGCCCTGGGGATGACTGAAAAGCTGTTCACCTCTCTGAAGTGGGTCAAAACTCGAGGGGCTTACATACTTACTCCTAGAGAGCAGCCCTGCATGTGTATCCGACGGGCCACCATCTGGTCCATCCAGTATAGGACTCATTCCCCGTGGGGAAAATTCTCCAGAGGATAAGCTGGGCTCCTCAATGAAAGGCAGGTCCCCTGTGTGGCCTGGGCCGGGCTCTGGGCTTCCGTCCATCCCTGAGGGAGCAACACACACGTCTGCAGCCCCTGGGTTCTCGTCCTCCAGTGATGGGTGGTCCCCATGTGCCTTTTTCACAGCTCTGGCATCTGTGGCACTGTTGGCTGTGGGTGTAAGAGGGCTGCCGCCAAGGGAGTGATACTGAGGAATGACGCCCACAAACTTCAGGCCCCGACTTGCAGCTTCCTGGACCTGGGAGGCCAACAAAACAAAAGCAAGAGCGTGAATGGGATGGTCTACGGAAGGATGCCTGCAGCACCCATGCACCTCACCGAGGCCTCTGAGCTACTTCACCGTGAACAGGAAGAATAGCAGAGGCCCCATGTCATCAAGGCAGGCAGTGCCTGCACCCTTTGCCCTGGCCTGTTGGGGACATGCAGACTTGGTGTGTTCACTACATTGCCCAATGGAAAAATGAAGCTTTGGGAAAGGGTTGGGATCACCTCTCCTTGAAATGATTATGGTCCCCATTTGTTTTGTTTTGTTGTTTTGTTTTAAACAGGTTCTAAAAGGATACGCTCAAATAAACAGGATTTGGAAGAAGCTCATTTTGCTAACAATTTTTTAAGAATTTCTTTTTCTTATGACTCACCTACTTCCTGGCCATCAGGCTACCTCACAATACAGTGCATCTAGCTGGGTGCAGTGGCACACACCTGTAATCCCAGCAGCTCAGGAGGCTGAGGCAGGAGGATTATGAGTTCAATGCCAGACTCAGCAAGGACCTAAGCAACTTGGCAAGACTCTGTCTCTAAATAAAATACAAAAATGGGCTGGGGATGTGGCTCAGGGGTTAAGTGCCCCTGCGTTCAATCCCTGGCGCACATACACACAAAAAAAATTAAAATAAATACAATGCATCTTACAACCGCATAGTAATTACCAGATGGCATCTTATGACCCAAAGAGCTTCTTTTTTGAGACACTAGTTTTGTCAGGGAAGGTCAGAGGTGGGGAAAGTCACCCCTGTGAAGGCTCCATGGCATGCTCAGGCCTCAGGAAGCCAAGGAGCTCACAGTCTATACCTGGCCCACAGCTCCAGGTAGGCCCTAGGTTCTTGAAGGCCTCATACAGCCCAGACAGCATAGGCAACAGGGAAGCTGTTCCTTCTTGCTTCATGTGCCCACAAGCTGGGACAAAGAAATCTACAAAGAGTCCTGTAATATTTGAACCCTCTCTTGCCCTAAAAAGTAGCCTCCAGCCATTGCACTTAGTAGTCAAAACTTTGAAAGAAAAACTGAGAGTGGTAGCCTAGTAAAATCAAGAAGAGCCAGGAGGTGGGCTTTAGGGGACTTTCCAGGCAAGGATGCTCAAGCCGAGTACGTCACCACTGCATAAGGAGGTAGAAACCCCAGGGCTGTCTAAGTCTTAGTCACCAACCTCTAAGTGGATGACCTCAGAAAATATTGAGTTCTCCACAGCAAACATCTACTGCCATTGAGAATGTGTAAGAAATGCCACATGGAGTTCCCTGCACCAAGGGGAAGCAAGCCTCACAGCTATGGAACACAGCACCCCAACGTGAAGTCAAGGGTCATTTCAGCTCCCCACTGCACGTTCTAGGAAAAATGTCTAGAGCAAGTGCAAATGCATGGTCCAATCTTTCTACAAATCCCAGCCTGTGCGAGACATATCAGTAACTATCATCTGCTGCAGGCACATAACTAGCCATTTTACATTAAGTCATTTTGTTAAATTCTTCAATGACCATGCACGGCATCATAATCTCCATTGCAGATAAGGACACTGAGATTGAAATGAAAGTCATAAAGCAAGTAGTGAGAAGCCAGAGTTCAAAGCCAGCCCTGGCTCCAGCCAAACTGGACTCAAGTTCAAAAGGAAACATCAAGCTATCAAATACATACGTGTCCACAGTCACGTCTGTGTCCACTCATGCACAGTCTTGGGCCAAATCAGTCTTCAAAAGTTTAAAAAAACACCCCTTAAACTAATCCTTTCCATTCTGAAAATTTACTTTTCACTCACTAATCTGTGACATCCAACTATTTTAGAAAATTATCTCGGAAACTTTCTAAAAGAAAACACAGGAAACAAAAGCTTTCAAAGAAAAGTAGGGAGATGATTATACCAAGAACCTTACACTCAGGAAAGCTACTGCCGACGAAGCATAGCTCTGAGCTTCCTGGTGACAAAGGCAAAAAGGAAAGGCAATAAATTTTTACAGTCCCCAGATGAAATGAGGGAACAACCTTGCACTAGCTCCTGAGACTACTGTCTCACCACACAGGAAACAGCTATGACTACTGAAGCATTTCTAGAAACTGGTCCCATTGAGGGTTCAACCACAGGCCAGTCTCAACAGGAGCTATGGTAGTGGCGATGGCATGGGGTCTGAAGGCTCTCAGAAAGGCTGGGCTTGGAGCTCGAGATGTGTCACTCACTGATGTGGGGGACGACTACAGTGGGTTAAATAAGCTCTCCAGGTCTTAGTCTTCACATCCATAAAATGGGGAGGGTCGTGCTTCTCTTTTGCAGTGGCTCAGAATACCAGACATATGGTAAGCATGCTGAAGGGGCCCAGAGAAGGCACACGTGGCCATCATAATTGCTTGAACCTCTCCCTTGATCAGTCCTGGTCATCTGCGGCCCTGTAGAGACTGCCCAGAGTCATCCATAGAGGAAAAGATGAGGTTTTGGACACAGGGCATTTTCCTAGTCCCCTCCTTCCTCCTGGGGACTTGAAGAATCAGGGAGTCTTAGACACACAAGTCAGACCTCAGCCCTCTTACCCACAAACCCCACAGCTGTTTTCTTTTGCCATACTGTACTGCAAATTGATCCTTTAAGCCGGGAATTCTCAAGTGTCATATCCAGGGACCAGCAGCATCAGCATCCCCTGGGAACATGTTGACACTGCAGGCTCTCAGGCCCTCAGGCCCTCAGACCCACTGAATTGGCAGCTCTGGGGCAAAACCCAGTGAGTGACCTGCAGTTCACAAGTCTGCTGCGGGATCTCAGTGCAACCTAGTGTGCAAATCACTGCTTGGAACACACACTTCACGAGGACTGGAGCATTCTACTGTGTCCCCAGTGATAGAAGGATGTCCGGCAGATACATATCTGTTGAGTGCATGAATACATTAAATCATGAGTGAACAGGTATGTCTCCTAAACAAGATCCTTGGAGGCTGGATGGGGACAGGTTAAATTTTTCATCTCCAGAGTTCAACAAACATTAAGTCCCTGTACTGGTCCAGGCCAACACTCTGCTTAAGTACTGGGGAATCTTAACCCTCAAGACGGTCCAGCCAATTTCTGTAAGTATGTTTTAAAAATAAGAACACAAACACGGAGCAAGTAATGCTTGCACTATGTTATAACAAAAATAAAGATTCTAAGCTTTATAGACACAGTATTAATTTGACTCTGAAATGTACATACACAAATCACATCCAGAAACATTCACTAACATGAAGACATCAGTGTTCTTGAAGAGGAGGGAGATAGAAGTTACTTTTTTTTCCTATTTGTGGGTAATTTTTTTCAAAATTTATTAGCATTAGAATTGAAAAAAAAGTATATTTTAAAGATTACTCATATGGGTGATAAATGCAGTCATGGGTGTAAAGGTATTACAATAGTGACAATGACCAAAGAGACACTTTCTGCCTGAAAGGAGGTGGAGATAGCTCTATCACAGAAGGCCAGGGCTGTGACAAGGTAACAAATAGGAAGAAGTGAGGAGGGTGGTAGAACTAGTACGTCCACCTCACCTTGAAGCATTCAAACCCTATTTGTTCTTCAAAATGCTGTGCTTGACAAAATCTATTTGGGGACCAAATCTGAAAGAGGCTTCGAAGGATGAATAAGAGTTCACCAGATACATGAAGGAAAGAAAGCAGGGAAATCCATGTAAGGGCAGGAGTTATCCTGGGTAAAACCTTGATGGTGTAACAGCCTGCTAAAGAAACTTCTAGAAGCATTTCTGGAACATGACATGAGAAGCCAGGAGCACCAAAAAAAAAAAAAAAAAAAAAAAAAAAAGAGGCTGGACTAGAAACGACCAGGACAGATCACATGCATTTTTTTGGATATCAAGTCAACAAAGGCTCTGAGCTAGCATACCCCCAGCTTTCTCACCACAGTAACTTGGAGAGTGGCTTCAAAGGGCAAAGCCAGATTTCTTTGAATACTCATCTAGTATTTTAACATCAATGCAGATTTCACATCCTATGCCATGGTACTGCCTGGTATCCAAACCTTTTACAATGATGTTATGGCTGAACGGAGCTCCGTGCTGAACCTTCCCAAAAAAGCTAACAAGATGAAATATCTTTGCGTATAAATTTTTATCTGAACCTCTGTTTGCTTCCTTCGAGTGGATTCCTGAAAGTGGAATTAATAGGTCAAAGGATATTAACTTTTCAAAGGATTAGTACAGGCTGCCAAATTGTTTACCAGAAAGGAGGAGTATCCTTTTTAACTGAAGACTACATTTAGATTTTATTTAAAAAAAAAAAAAAAAAATCAATATTTGGCTAGCCCATAGGGGGCCTTGAGTCTTCTGGTTTTCTACCTTACCCGAGTAGAGACAATTTCGTTTCTCTTTTTCATAATGTCGTTTGCATATGTAGCTAAATGGAATCCTGTCTGTTTTATTTATGTATAACCTTCTTTGGAAAAGTCTCAAGTGCATAATAATGGCAGACACAAGTGGTGGTCACCAGGGTTAATCCTCAGCCACCAGCTCTCAGCTCAACTTCCCCCTTGGTTCACACAGGTGTGGCCACTTGTTAATTATTCCCAAATTTGGACTCCTAGCCCTCACTTTCCTTGGAGGTTCAGACTTACATGGCCAGCAGTCACAGCTGGTCCACCATCAACCTTGTCTCCAAATCTGGAGTCACTTGATGCCTTCCTCCCCTTTCTCTAATCCTATGCATTCATCCACCACAGTCCACCAGATTCACCCCCAGCTGTTTCTGTAATCCTGCCCCATTCTCTACACACCCAAGGTCACTTTACTTCAGGCCCTCATCATCTGTAGCTGGACTTCACCATGACTCCACTAGTGTCTTCATGAGCCTGGAATCAATTAGTATGGAAGGGAAAATCATGACTAGTCGGGTCACTTAGCTGTGGAGTTCCCAGAGACTATCCCATGCATGACCACAACTGTTATCAGTGAAACTCACTATAACACTAGGCAACTCTTCCATAAAGAACTTTCAACATGCATTTATGTTAGGCCTCAAAACACTAACTTACAGAAGAGAGAAGTGGTCAAGAGATTATATGACTAGTTGAACTTCACAGAGCTAACCAAAGGCATTCCCTGGATTTGACTCCAAGTATACAAGGCCCTACCTGATGCTCCTTCAACAATACTCTTTCCAAATGGATTAATCCACCAATTAGGTTATAACCCTCATAATCTAATCTTTGTGTAATGCAGCTTTGGCCGAGGTGCCCACTTGCATACCACTATAAACTGAAAAATACTCTCATTCCTGTTGCCTTCTTAAACCCAGCCTGCCCCGAATGCTTAAAGGAGTAACAATTGCTGGTTCAGGCACCAAGAGTTAAA